CATGCTAATATTTGCATGTCTGCAGAACCTCTTCCTGCTACGAAGGAAGATTTGAGATGGGCAATTGGTTCTTGGATCTGATGCTTTGTGTGTGTGTTCTTTCAAATTCATATGACATAGCACTGCCTGCTATTGGAGGTAGATTGAGTTATGTGGTAGGGCCAGTGACACCTTTTGTAAAATTTTTATTTCCGTAGGTTATTGGGGAACGGGTGGTGAATGGCGGGCAAATCACCTAGGGTTCGAGACCATCCCGGCCAACATGGTGAAAACCCATCTCTACTAAAAAATACAAAAATTAACCAGGCTTGGTTGTGCGTGCCTGTAGTACCAGCTACTCAGAAGGCTGAGGTAGGAGAATCGCTTGAATCCGGAGGCAGAGGCTGCAGTGAGCTGAGATCGCACCACCGCACTCCAGCCTGGGCAACAGAGCGAGACTCCGTCTCAAGAAAAAAATAAAAAAAACTCAACCAAAAAACCTTTTTTATAAAAACATAGGTAGCAGGTTGGAATTGACCCATGAACTGTTGTTGGTTGAATCTTGTTACATGGGAAGAAGCCGGCCTGAGTTACCTGTTCACATTAAGATCGTGGTTAGAACAATATTCAAGAGATTGCATAGGGTCGAAGACCTATTCCTGTTCGGAAATTCTAGCTAGTGTTCATTTCTGAGATTTTTTTTTTTTTTTTTGCATGGAGTCTCACTGTCACCCAGGCTGGAATGCAGTGGTGTGATCTTGGCTCACTGCAACCTCTGGTTCCTGGGTTCAAGTAATTCTCCTACCTCAGCCTCCTGAGTAGCTAGGATTACAGGTGTGTACCACCACACCCGGCTAATTTTTGTGTATATGTATATATGTGTGTGTGTGTGTGTGTGTATATATATATATTTTTTTGAGACAGTTTCACTCTTGTTGCCCAGGCTGGAGTGCAATGGCGCGATCTCTGCTTACCACAACCTTCGTCTCCCAAGTTCAAGCAATTCTCCTGCCTCAGACCCCCGAGTAGCTAGGATTACAGGCATGGGCCACCACACCCAGCTAATTTTGTATTTTTAGTAGAGAATTTCTCCATGTCGGTCAGGCTGGTCTTGAACTCCCGACCTCAGGTGATCTGCCTGCCTCAGCCTCCCAAAGTGCTGGGATTACAGGCTTGAGCCACTGTGTCTGGACCAATTTTTGTATTTTTGTATTTTTTTTTTTTTAAGTAGAGATGGGATTTCACCATGTTGGCCAGGCTGGTCTTGAACTCCTGACCTCAAGTGATCTACCCGTCTCGGCCTCCCACTGTGCTGGGATTACAGGCTTGAGCCACTGTGTCTGGACCAATTTTTGTATTTTTGTATTTTTTTTTTTTTAAGTAGAGATGGGATTTCACCATGTTGGCCAGGCTGGTCTTGAACTCCTGACCTCAAGTGATCTACCCGTCTCGGCCTCCCACTGCTGGGATTATAGGCATGAGCCACTGCACTGGGCCATTTGCATGCTTTTATGTACAAGCCCACCTGGAAGTAGATAGCTCAAGGTGGAAGGTATACAGTGCTGGAAATAACTACGTCACAGGGCATTAGCCAGACGGATAACAGGCTTCTCTTCCTTTGATTATCCTGCAGGTTGCAGCAATGCAGCATAACCAAGCGTGGCTGTAGATATCTCTCAGAGGCACTCCAAGAAGCCTGCAGCCTCACAAACCTGGACTTGAGTCTCAACCAGATAGCTCGTGGATTGTGGATTCTCTGTCAGGCGTTAGAGAATCCAAACTGTAACCTAAAACACCTGCGGTAGGTGATTTCCTTTTTCTTTTTTCTTTTTTTTCTTTTTGAGACAGGGTCTTGCTCCGTCCCCCAGGCTGGAGTGCAGTGGTGTGATCACGGCTCACTGCGGCTTCAGTCTTCCAGGCTTGATCGGTCCTCCCACCTCAGCCTCCTGAGTAGCTGGGCCTACAGGCATGTATTACCATGGCCAGCTGACTTTTTTCTGTAGAGATGAGGTCTTGTCATCTTTTCCAGGCTGGTTTTGAACTCGGAGACTCAAGGAATCCTCCCACTTCGGCCTCCCAACGTGCTAGGATTACAGGCATGAGCCATCACGCCCGGCCTCGTTTTTAAAGTTTTTCAAAATCTGGAAATCCTTAATTTCTGTTTTATTTATTTATTTATTTTTTTGACACGGAGTCTCGCTCTGTCGCCCAGGCTGGAGTGCAATGGCATGATCTTGGCTCACTGCAACCTCCACCTCCCAGGTTCGAGTGATTCTCCTGCCTCAGCCTCCTGGGTAGCTGGGACTACAGATGCCCGCCACCACGCCCAGCTAATTTTTTGTATTTTTAGTAGAGATGGGGTTTCACTGTGTTAGCCAGGATGGTGTCGATCTCCTGACCTCATGATCCGCCTGTCTCGGCCTCCCAAAGTGCTGGGATTACAGGTGTAAGCCACCGCACCCGGTCAATTTCTATGTTTTCAATATCTCAGACTGTATCACTTTGGATCCAGTTTTAAGAGCAAACTCCTCCAGAAACTGAATATAGGTGGGTGGGCACTTCCAAAGTCATGTAGAGGGCCTGGAGAAGTGAAATATAGGTGAGAATGGCCCCCAGTGACCTGGACTTCAGGAACATTGCTGCTTCTGCTGGGATCCAGTAATCAGGAAGCCGTGAGCCTGCCCCAGCTCATAAACCCAGGGAACTGGAGATGGGATACCACCCCAGGAAATGCAAAGCCTCCACAAATGGAATAGTGAACTGTTTATCACTTCTCTCTCCGAAGCTTGTCAGTTGCATCCTTGGATGCAACCTATTTTCCAACTAGAATCTGCAATCCTAATGAGAAGAGAATCTGCATCATGTCATTATTACTTAGCTTTGCTGTAGAGACAAGAAAAAAAACACGAGAACACAGGGTACTTTTTTTCTTTTTTGAGACGGAGTCTCGCTCTGTCACCCAGACTGGAGTGCAGTGGTGCCATCTTGGCTCACTGCAACCTCAGCCTCCAAGGTTCAAGCGATTCTCCTGCCTCAGCTAAGTAGCTAGGATTACAGGGGTGCACCACCATGCCCAGCTAATTTTTGTATTTTTAGTAGAGACCAGGTTTCACCATGTTGGCCGGGCTGGTCTCCAACTCCTGACCTCAAGTGATCCCCCTGCCTCAGCTTCCCAAAGTACTGGGATTACAGGCATGAGCCACTGTTCCTGTCCTCCTGAAGTTTCTTAACCCATCACCCTGAGGAACATTTCAAGCTGCAAGCCAGACCGTGACACCTTACTATTTCCAAAGACTCAAAAGCTCAGTGCAAATAAAGGAGTGGATCACCTGGTGGCTTGTGCCTGTAATCCTAGATTCTCCGGAGGCTGGGGCAGGAGAATCACTTGAACCTGGGAGGTGGAAGTTGCAGTGAGCTGAGATCACGTCATTGCACTCCAGCCTGGGCAACAAGAGCGAAACTGTCTTAAAAAAAAAAAAAAATCTAAGGCTTTTACAGTGGCCTACAGGGCCTTATGGTCTCGTCTTACCAGTTATGAGCCAAAATCATTCTACTTTCTCACTAGCTCAGTATTTTATTTACAAGATTCCTTCCCCCAATTAGCAAGCTGGTTCACGATCTGACATCCTTCAGTTTTTTCCCTCATACCACTTTCCCAGAGAGAACTTAAATGACTGGCATAAATCTAGCCAGTGCCTCTCTGGTTGACTTACCTCTACCACCTGTTCATTTTAATACCATCATTCATTGTCTTCAATAGAACACATCCGGATGTCTGCTGTCACTAAAATAAACTGTGAGGATTTCTTCATCTCACTTCTCTCTGCATTTCCTCAGTACTGGATTCCCAGCAAATATGCTGCTTTTTTTTTTGAGACCGAGTCTCACTCTTCCACTCAAGCTGCGGTGCGGTGGTGATATGTTGGCTTACTACAACCTCTGCCTCCTGGGTTCAAGCAATTCTCCTGCCTCAGCCTCTCGAGTAGTTGGAATGACAGGTGGCAACACCATACCTGGCTAATTTTTGTATTTTCATTGTATGGATTTATTTATGAGATGGAGTTTCACTCTGTTGCCCAGCCTGGAGTGCAGTGGCACGATCTTGGCTCACTGCAACCTCTGCCTCCCAGGCTCAAGTGATTCTTGTGCCTCACCTTCCCAAGTAGCTGGCATTAAAGGCACTCACCACCATGCGTGGCTAATTTTTTGTAGAGATGGGGTTTCACCATGTTGGCCTGGCTGGTCTCAAACTCCTGAACTCAGGTGATCCACCTTCCTTAGCCTCCCAAGGTGCTGGGATTACAGGTGCCTGCCTCCACATCCTGCCTCATCTTTGCATTTTTAATAGAGATGGGGTTTGACCATGTTGGCAAGGCTGGTTTCGAGCTCCTGGCCTCAAGTGATCCACCTGCCTTGGCCTCTCGAAGTGTTGGGATTACAGACATGAGCCATGGCATCTGGCCACTACCTGCTCAGTGAGTGCACGGGTTTCCATGTTCTTCCTCAACAGCCTCTGGAGCTGCTCCCTCATGCCTTTCTATTGTCAGCATCTTGGATCTGCTCTCATCAGCAATCAGAAGCTTGAAACTCTGGACCTGGGCCAGAATCATTTGTGGAAGAGTGGCATAATTCAGCTCTTTAGGGTTCTAAGACAAAGAACTGGATCCCTGAAGACACTCAGGTATGGCTTTTTTTTTTTTTTTTTT